TGAGCGGGCAAAGCAGTGTGCCAAAACCCTCCCCGGGCAACACCTTCCCCAGGCAGCACGGCTGGAGCCGAGGGCTGGCTCCTGGCTGCACGGGGGAGTTTTAGGAATTCCCTTGAGGAGCTGAAATGGCTGTGGAGGAGGTATAAAGACTGCCAAGCAGCAGATAAGCAAGTCTGGAGAAGCCTCGCACAGAGGTGTGCTCCGGGGAAATCACAGCTCTTGACTTGGTCTGGTGGGGGAAGGCTCTGGGAGACCCCTCTGGATTTGGGGTAACACAGACTCATTCTCTGAGAAGGAGCTGAGGCTGCCTGGAGCACACAGCCTGTGGGGCTCTGCTGGCACCTGGGCTATTGTTTCATGCTATGGGGTTTTTTTTTCTGCAAAGCTATTGTCCTAAAACAAAGAGGATGGGGGTTTAGGAAAGCCAATGAGCTCTGGCTCCAGAGGTGGAGGAAAAGGCCCGAGTCCTTGGTCTGGGGGGGAGTCATGGTGCTCTCCCCAGACAGGTAGTGGCTGGTGGTTGGATGGGGATGCTCAAAGCAAGGAAAAGCGAGGGTCTTTGCAATGACATCATTCATAACTTCCCCAGGCTGTGCCCAGCCTTGCTGGTGGTTAGAGCCCACCACCAAAAATACATCATTTCTTAGCTTAATCTTAAATTATTCCATAAGACTGCGAGTCTGGAGGCCCCTGGACTAATCCCACAAGAGTTAGCCAAGGACAATTCCAAGGGGAGCCTGACTCTGGCTGCATCCCTGTGGCCACAACCCCCTTAGCACAGCCATCAGGTACCAAGGCAGCTTTGCACACGTGAGACCACTGGCCACGTGTGGCTGTGGGGCAGGAGCACTGGGCTGCCTTGTTTGCATTGGTATGTTGGTATATGGGACAATACATCCCAGCGTGTGGAGAGTACTCCTGGAGCAATATCCAAAGGCACCACTCACAGCAGGGCTTGGCCGAATTAATCCTGGGATGGATGCTTCTTTTTGCAGAAGCTCAGAGTAAAGCCTGAGCAGGTGTCACCTGACAGAGCATCACCCCGAGAAAATCAGCGTGTGGTGTGGAGAGGCCAGCACTGTCGTCAGGTCCTGCGAGTCCAGGATGGGCGTTTGGAGACCTCTAGAGACTGCTGGAAATAATCGCAGGTCCAGACACGCTGCCGGTGTAGCTGAGAGGAGCCTTGTGTGGAAATCCCCGTGGGAAGCACGCTGCCGGGCTCCTCACTGAGCGTTTCTGCCACTTGTGAACAGCAGGGAAAAGTTTGGGACAAACGACCAAGAGCAAGATGTAGATAACAGCTCAAGGAAAGGTGCAAACTCTGATGCTTTTATGGCCAAATGGTTGGCAAATGCAGCTCTGCTGATGCATCCCCTGCAGTTCACCAAGTCATCAGTTCAGCATCTCCTTTCCTGCACTAGAATCCCTCCACCTCAGATTGTATCTGTCTTTTCTGTAACCCAGTGGCACATAATGTGCTTGATGTTGTTTCTCCATCCATCACCAAAGAGAGGGGAAAGTTATGGCATTAAGAGCTAACTGCCAACAACATGTTGGAGCTGCCTCCAGCATCTGAAATTCTAAACAAATTTCCAGTCCCTTCCTCCTTGCTAAACAGACAGATGTTACCATGGCTTCTGAGCAGTGCCACAACAGGCAGAAGGCAAATAAAGCTGCACCTGTAAGCCAGTCTGTATTTAGGCCCCATTTACTGAGGAAACACATTTGCATCTTTCCCCAGCAACCTTTCTTGCTCTCACTGAAATACCAACAGAAAGCAGAGCCTTGAACATGGGGCAGGGCTGAGCACCTCAGGGGCTGCTCTCCTCAAAACCAGAGCAATCTACATCCCCCTGCCATCATCAAGAGCCCTCCCATCTCTCTAAACATGCCTTCACTGGCTTTTTTTGCTCTCCCACAGGGGAGCCCTGTGGCTCCCAGTGCTGCTTGGCCAGATGCAGGGTTTTGCAGCAGCAAAGCAAATCCCATGCCTCTTCTGGTGATGGCACCAGCAGAGGTTGTGGTGGGAGCTGGAATGAGGCTGGGCATGGCCAGGACATCACCCTGCCAGGACAGGCTGTGTGCACAGATTTGTTTCAAGCACCTAGTTTTACCAGACAAAATAAAAGGCTTCAGCAACTTCTCTAGAAGTCAGGAGCCATGCTGGTTCCTGCACCAGCTGGCTCAGATGGAGCCCTGGGTGCAGAAGAGAGCCACTATTTGTCCCACCATGGCTTTCATGGCAAGCTCCTCTTCTATCCCACTGCACCCCAACCTGCCCTGCGGTGCTTGAGCCTTCCCCAGTCCACTGATTGGATTAGCATAATAATTATAAACTTGGCACACTTATTTAGCTTGCAGATCACTCTGTTCCTACGTGCAGGACTGCAGCACTCTCTGGTTCTCTCACTGCCACGGTGGGCGTGTCAGAAGCAGCCCCTTCTCCCCACAGTCCCTTACTTGGCTGGCAGGAGAAACAAGCAGGGAGGGATAATTTGGGGGGTGAAAACACAACTTTGGGTTCAGGCCATAAATAGGAGGGATGTACAGCTGGGCAGATTGGAGAGGCCAAGGTCCAGCATCCTCCAGCAGCCCAAAGAGGCATGGCTGGTATGGCCCTGGCCCTGCCACCACCACTTCGGGACCTCTGCCACTGGCTCCTGAGGAGCCAGGAGATGAGTGAGGAGACCACATCAGGGCTTGGCTTCATAAGGCTCAGTTTTGTAGGAGTCCAAATGGGCAAACCCCAGCCTGGGACTTGACTTTTTCAGCCCCAAGAGAGACTGTTGGCTTCTATGTCTGTTGGATTGCATTTTTAATCATCTGCCAAGGGCACCAGATCCTGGGATAGTAGCTCACATTCTGCTTATCTGCTGGAAATAAAATAAACACATTAAATAACATAATCACTGTGGCCCATACAGCGAGGGGGTTTTAACCACGAGAGCCATGGATTCCTGTAGGACCAAGCAGGGATCATCACATCCTCCTGTGTGGGCAGGGATGGGACCAGCATCTGGTTTTAATGCTTCTACCCTGGGAAGAGGGGGGATGGAGGGGGCACAGCCATCCCTCCATCCCTGGCTTGGCTTCACCCAGCCATAGGTTAGCACATGCTGACTGTCAGTAGGAAAGCCCCCATCACTGAACTTCATTCCATCACTACCCTTTCTTCTTGGTGCCTTTCCATGACAGGAAATATCAGACAAAGGCTCCTTCACCTGCTCCCAAATCCCTGCATTGTCCCCAGCAGGGAGGGGAAGCACGGCCCTGAGCTCAGCAGAGCTGCCCTGACAGCAGCTCCTCTGGCTTGGGAGGGTAGAGCTGAGATCAAAACACAGCCCATGCTTTAGCAGAGGAGCTCTGGGCTGTGCTGTCCATCTCCAGTGGGACAGCTGGCAGCAGAGAGGGAATTGTGTTTCCTGTGTATGTGGTGTGTCCTTTGCTGGGGTGGTTGTAATGATGACAAGCTAAAGGTGGAAGCAAGGCTGACCTGGGTGCTGCCATCACCACTCGCTGTTTGAGACTGAACCATCAGCACTCTGTGGTCACAAGGGGAACACTGGTGTGCTCGGAGCCTTTGAATCATAGAATAGTTTGGGTTGGAAGGGACCTTAAAGATCATATAGTTCCAACTCCCCTACCATGGGAAGGGGCACCTCCCACTAGACCAGGTTGCTCAAAGCCCCACCCAACCTGGTCTTGAACACCTCCAGTGATGGAGCATCCACAACCTCTCTGGGGAACCTGTTCCAGTGTCTCAACGCCCTCATAGTGGAGAACTTCTTCCTAATTTCTAATCTATATCTACCCTCTTCTAGTCTGAAGCCATTACCCCTTATCTTACGAATTCAATCCCTTGTAAAAAGTCCCTCCCCAGCTTTCTTGTAGGCCCCTTTCAGATACTGGGAGGCTGCAATAAGATCTTCCCAGAGCCTTCTCTTTCCCAAGCTGAACAACGTCACCTTTCTCAGCCTGCCCTCGTAGGAGAAGTGTTCCAGCCCTCATGCAATGTTCAGGTTCCCATGCAATGTTCAGGTTCCCAAAGCTGCTCAGCAACAGTAGCCAGGCACAACAGCATGAGGTTGGTCATCATCATACCTCAACTCCTGTCCAAAAACATGCATATCCCAAAAATGCAATGGAAATGGGAAACCATGCCAGAGAAAGAAAGAGGGGAGTGAAAGGGCTGAACTATAGGGAGGGAAAGCAAGGCATGCAGCTGGCAGTGGAGATACCAGGACTGGAGAGATTTTCCCAGTATGGGCAATGAGTTTGAGGCAGGGAGATGCTCAGAAATGCAAGATCATTAGACTGCTAAAAAAAGTGGAGTGAAATGGCAAGCAGTTATTAAAATGCATTATTTAATAAAATTATGAATTATTCAAAAGGAAGATTTTCCAGCTTGTTTTATGCAAGTTTAACCTTGGAGATGAGGGGAGCAGGTAGAACAGGGGATCAGGCAGGAGCTCGTGGGAAGAGTCACCCACATAACGCTGGATGAGGACAGGCTGGATGCCACCTTACCCCCTTTCCTTGATCAGCCCTTGTCTTTCACGCCCTGCTTCAAAGCACCACAAAGTTTTCTGCTTCAGATTTTGTGTTGCCCAGGCAGGGAGATGGAGCAGAGTGTCTGTGTCCTGCTGGAAATGAAGGCATTCAGGTTCTTTAATAAGAGATCTGGCATTTTCCTCTAAATTGATACACAATGAACTCACTACGACGTCCAGCTGCTGAGGTGAGATTTGCTGCCCCTGAGGTCTTTTATAAAGAGCTGGGTGAGATCATGGAGGGAAAAAAAAAAAAAAAAAAAAACAAAAATAAAATAACCTAAATCCCTGAGTTTATTTAGGAGTGAGACAAAAGCAAGGGCACGGAGTGTGGCTGCATGGGAAGGAGGGGGAAAGGAGAAGAGGGTGAGAAAGATGGAGACACATAAGAGATGAGCAGGGCCATGCACCTCTCCAATCTTGCCATGCCTCACTGTGGCCTCCTCACAGCAGTTTGAAGCCTGGTACCCAGAGGGAATGTGTCCCAGGTGGAGCATCGTGGTCAAGGGTGAGACCAGTTCCAGTACAAGCCCAGAGTCCACTCCCAGCTCTCGAGCTACCAGCATCACTCCACCACTCCCCATCACTACTTGCTCTCACTATTTTAGGATTTAAATTAATTTTCTCTGTGATCGTGGAGATCAAATCACTCTCCACTTTAACCCTCACTTCCCCAGCTCCAGAATCTTCTGCAGCTCCTTCCTTGCCAAGCACTGGGGGAAGGAAGAAGTTAATAAGACCTTTCCCTTTGAAAGCAAGGAGCCATTCCAGATAACCCTGTGTCACCCCACCAGTCTCCTCAGCTGGGGCAGGTGACCTCCTCATGGATCCAGCCCTGTCTTTCCTGGCAACACCACACTCAATAATACCCCCTCTGGCTGTCTCCTGATAGTATTGCTGTGGTACCCCAATTTGCTGCTGGTTTACACCCAGCTCTGGCACAGACACGCAGAGCTCCAGTCATAATCCCTGGGTGCTGCATTTGTTTTCAGTTTGGGCTTTGCACTATCACCAGTTTCTGTTATCATTAAGAATTAAATTATTCCCTCCTTTTGCCCACAGTTGGGCTGAGCAGTGCATGTGTTGGCTCTGGGAGGGTTTGAAGGGGGTGGTAGGTGTGTGTGTCCAGAGCCAGGCACTCACAGGACAGCAGCACAGCCCAGTGAGGAAGCGTGGCTGCATGGTGAACCTAACATGGTCTCTCAGGTTGAAATCTATTCTGACCAAGACTATTTCCACATTTTCATCAATAAAAGCAAAATCCTGCAGTAGAAGCATCAGCAGAAGCAGCTTTCTACCACCACCAAGCTGCAGATTCTCAATGATATTGCCATTTCTTCAGTGGAAATCACCAAACGAGGCCTTTGCTAGAGACTGGAGCTGAAAGTCTCACAGACCATACTTTGTTAAGCTCTTGATCCAGCTAGAGACCATCTCCTCCCCTTCTCCACCCATCACATGCCATCACCAGCCAGGGAGATGGCTACATGTGTCCTCACAGTGGAAGAGATGGTCATTCCCATTCAGCCCGAGCCCTGCCAACTCCAGGCTTGTTAGCCTCCAAGAGTGATGTATTGGGTCAGAAAAGGGTAAAAGCTTAGAGATGCATAAAAGTACATGGTCCATTCATCACACACCAGAAATGCAGCTGAACTCCAACAAAAGGATCTGAGGAAATCAGGATCTAGAAATTCTGATAAGTTCAGAATGAACAAAGCACCATTATTCCTGTAGACAGTCTCTGGCTTTTCTCTTCACTCAACTTTGTTTTCTTTTCTCTTCTGTTTCAAAACCTACACACCACTTGTCCCTTGCATCTTCTTCTCTTTTCCACCCCCTTTCTTGGAGCACAACACATCTCCAGCTCCTTGAGCAGGCCACAGAAGGCTAAAAGATATTAATTCTACTTTGTTTTAATTACACGCATCATAAGAAGCATAATGTCACAGTGTTAAATCTGAACAGGAACTCATTCCAAAAATGCAATTACAGCTGCCCCCAAATCACTCCTTTGTTCCTCAGACATAAGACAGACCCCATCCCTGATGCAAAAGGCAAAGACAATCCCACTTTGCTAGTCCTTTCCATCAAGGAGAACTCACTTGGTGAGAAGTCGGTCCTTGCCTTTGGGTGGGATCCCTGAAGGTCACAGCTTTGCTCCAGCCTTTTCTCCATGCTCAAAGTGGCTACTTCCAACTCTTCCTTCTATTTCTAGTTTCAAGGAGCTAAGAGGAAGATGTGACTGTGTAGCCAACCACAACATATGATGCCACAAAGCTGACATTTATGAGTCTGCTAAGAAGTTTATCATGTTTTTCCAGACTGTACAGGACACTAACTGGAAGCTATCCTGTTCTCGTGACAAAGATCACAACAGAACACAAAATGGTCCTAAATGGTACATCCTCCCACCAAAAAGAACAGAAAATACAACTTGGAAACAGACATGGCCTTGGTTCCAAGTCAGGAGGGTTGGAGATGGTGAGAATTCCTCTGGCCTGCGATAAATCTGTCACCACTGGGACAAGAGGGTCAGTTCAAGTTCTGGTTGCCATGATGTAACTCAGAGGTTCAACAAACTTTACTCTTATGGCCACCCCTTCAGTAAAATGGGCACAAACACAGTCAAAACCAGGCCTGCTGGGATCTCTGTGTCATACCTCTGGTAATGCTAACTGCATTTGAAAGAAACTGTTCTTTTCATTTGTGCTGCTTTGGGGATTGATGGAGAGAGATCATTTTTCATGGAGGAAAAGTGATGAAATTATTTATAAGGGTAATACTTGGTACTTACATGGCTGTAAACTCCATCTATAGCCAGTGCTGCAGAAACACACCACAATTTCATTGTGAGCACAAAGGATTACAGACAAACAGGGCCAAATAATACTTCAAGTAAAAATAAAGACACCACAAGAAAAAAAAATCAGGCATCAGCAGAGATTATGCCCTGACTCCTGAACATGTTTCCCCCAGCTTCTGCCAGTAGCTGATCTCACCCCACTACCATCTGCACCAAGAGAGCCCACTCTCTCCTGACACATCCACAGCATCGTTGCTGGCTTCAGGATTTTATCTGCTGCCTCCTCCAGCCAAGACATTCCCAAGGGTGAAGGGGTCTTTAGAGCAAAAGAGATCTGGAGAGCTACAAAGCATCTCTGGGAGGAAAACTTCATGGCTGGCTGTTTACAGCACAGTTTTATGGGGAATAAGAGATGCCCTCCAAGTCTCTGACCCTCATCTACCACTTAAGGAAAAACTCTAGAAGAAAACAAAGTCCCACAATTTTAATGGTCAGTTAAACTCTTAGGAAGAGGGTTGACACGTCACACTTTGATGAAGTCATTGCATGATGATACAGAGGTGACCAAGCAAACAAATCAATCCTTCTTTACAGTTTTAACCAGCCTTTCTATTCATGACCTGGAGTTTGAGACTGGGACAGAAACTCATGGAGATGAGCTCCTGCTCAGGAGTATTTTCTGAAGAGCTGTAGGTCTTTTGGAGGGGAAGGAAGAGGGGCAGCTAGGGTTGCAGCTCTGGGAGGGACCAGCATTTCACTGCCTGATCTAGAGGCCAAGCTCAGGATTTTTGCTGTGGCCAACTGCAGCACGAGAGCCAGACTGAAATGCCTCCAGAAAGAGCAATTGCAGGATGGCATTGGCACTGCCCTAGGAAGGATCTGCTTTTAAAGCTGCAGCTACTGCCCTTATAGGTTATATGAACTGGGGATGAACACCTGAAAGGGAGGTGTCCCTTGGGAAGCAAAGCCAAAAGAGGTGGCAGCCTTCCACATGGGCTCTCCCTTTCCTACTGATTTTCCTCAATTGGGCTGGATCTGCAGAGCTCAGTGAAACATTCTGGCTTGTCCCCAGATCAGCAAGGGCAAAATCAGGCTCATAATCCTTCGTGCCTGAGCTGTGCCAGGACTCCCAGGGCCGAGGTCCCCTCTGGCAGCATCACAGTGCTGCAGATCTCCTGCGGAGCATCTGCTGATGCACGATCAGAGGGCTCCTTGGTGTTGCTGACTCTGCTGGCAGTCACTGCCTGGCCCAGCAGCAAGCACCCGCAGTTTCCTCACAGGCTGGTGAGCAAACAGCCCCCACGTCAGCAGCAGTCATGTCTCATCAGCAGAGCACCCGACTGAGTGCTGCTGTCTCTGCCAGCCTTAGCAAGGGACAGCTGAATATCAGACACTGGCTCCTGCCTTGACATAGGAAAGTCAGTGTGAAAAAGGGCAAGCACTTGCTGCCAAGGCAAGTGAGAAAGACTTTTACAAAGCACCAAAACCCAAGAAAGTCATGCAGGTTGCATCTGCCCCATACTCACTTTCTGACCTGATGCACTTTTTTTTTTTACCATCCTCTTACAAAATAAAACAAAACCCCCACAAACTCACCAAACTTTGATGCTGGAGGTTTATCCTCTTACTCATAGCTAGAGGACAGCTCTGGTGAAGAAAAGCAGGACAGTTGTTAACCATTTACCTAACATTCCCCTTCCTCCTCCCACTTCAACACCCCCATAAACATCTCCTGATGGCCCAAAGCTGGGCTGCAGTAGAGATCTTTGCCACTCCACTGATCCTAACCAGCTGTACTGCAGCCCAGCTCAGTGATCATGGACCCATGCCCATGGCACCTCTGATTTCCCACATTCCCCAAGGCCTCTGTTTTCCCAACACATTGCCACAGAAATAGTTGCTAGAGGTGCAGACCTTATAGGCAATTATTTTCTTCCTTATCTAAGAGGCTCCTATTCAACCTGGGCTGTCAAAATCTTTAAGTATTCAGGAGTCACCAGTGTTTGCTGGCAGGACTGAGGAACAGGAAGGGCAAATGTTTGGCCTTTTTCTGAAAAGTACAAGAGAAAAACAAGAAGATGAAAGGAGGAGTAACCCTCAAGTTTTAACTGGGAAAAGGCATTTTTGAGGCACCAGGCAGCTCCAAATTGCAGCTAGAAAGGAGTTTCTGCTGGAAAGCAGAGGGATGGGTTTTTTTTATTGCATTCAAAGAGAGCTTTATAAAGTCATTTTAACTCACAGCGTCACCACCCAGAGCCAGCTCAGAAAGGAAAGTGGAGCTCCCAGCCCTGATCTTGCATGCATGGTAGCAGGTACTGGCTGCAGACATTAAATGCCTGCTGGAGAGGGATTATTTTCTGAAAGAAAGGATCTGCTCTAGAGGCTGAAGGACTGGAAGCTGATGGTATCGCTTTATTTGGCAGCCGTGTTATTGTATATCACTGTTGCCTAAGGGGAGGGTGACAAAAATTAGCCTGATGTCCAAAATTACTGGCCCTCCAGTTCTGCAGTCTGTTCAAGACCCTCTCACCAAATCTAGATGCAATCTATCATGTTATTCCTTCAAGCTATATGAACATAGCTAGTCAAATCTCTGACTTGAACAGAGCACAACACAACAGCTCACGGAGGTCAGGCTGCTTCCTCTGCACCATCACACCATCATAAGGCTGTCTGGGGCTTATAAAGCACTTTAAACCCACAGGGATCCAGGCAAGCTATGAAGAAAAGGTACCATGACAACCTTGTGCAGGTAAGAAAATCAAGGCATGTAGAGAAAAGCAGCAGAGCAGAAAAGGAAAGAGGGAACTGGGTGCTTTGGCCTCCAGACCAGTGGTCCCACCCTGCAGCTTGGGGCCTGGGCATGTAACCTGTGGTTAGGTTCAACTGAGACTTGTCATGATCTATCAGACATTGCCCTGGAGCCTTAACAAGCTAACAGGCTCCACGCTGAACCCCTCCACAGCCTGCAGCCCAGGACACAGGCAAGCCACCTCCTTGTCTTACATGGGAGAGCAGGGCTGCACAGACATCACTGCTGTGGTCTCAGCTGCTCAGCAGCATTTTCTAGCTTGTTTCATGCTCCACCCCAAACAACAGCCAAAGACTGACCAACATTCCTTCACTTTGTTCCCCTTCCTCGATATACCACCTGTCCAAAGAGAGGTTAACTTTGCCTGATACTGCCTGATTTATCACACAAAAAGCTTGCTGGTTTCAAAAACTAGGAGTAAAATTGAGATGCAGCTATTTCACCTGCTAACCTCTGCCTTTGTGCTGAACTCCACCTATTGTCAGCTTTCATTTCTTGAAGCTGCTCTGTTCTGTGAGCTCACACTGGAAACAGAAAGACAGCCATGGTCAGTGGTGATGGGAGGGCAGCAATTATACTTCCAGTAAATTGCCCGAATCTTTCCAGATGAGTCACTGCAGAGAGGTGAGGCATTATCACTAGAGAGAAAAAGTTTGCAACTGATCCTGACAGAGTTTAACAACCCCTCAAAGCTGCTGCCTGCTTCATTTTGTACAACTTTCATCGTGAAGATTCCTTTTAAAAGGCTGCCCAAAA